AAATATGATGAGCTCGAAATGGAACCTCAATGAGGATGAGCGCCATCAAAATTGAACTGATGGAGCTACAATCTCAGATGTTTAATCCAAGCACAGATTAATTCTATTTCCGATTTTTTTTTTTCTTAAGAGGGAAAATTATTTAAATTCCCCAAAAATGGGAGGTTATCCTAAATGTCTTGGTGGGGTTTCATTGATCTCTAGTAGAACTCGGAGACAAATGCCAATAGCTGAGCTCATTGACTAATCAGATGATGAAAAGGTATGTTCTGGGACTTTTGTCCATATTCTGTAGTCTCGCTCACTAAAGGAGCAACAGCAGCAGCCCGGCACTGCTCACCTTACACACCAACCATCCACGTTTCTAACCCTGCTACGATGTAGAACCTGAACAAATTGCTAATCACATACAGTGTGTTGTACAACTACCAAAACAAATGCTGCACTGTACCAGAACAGTGAGTGAAGTGTTCAGTTATGTCGATGAAGTTCAGATAACCGAAGTCCACAGTATAACAGTAATTTAAGAGCTGTGTTGTTATATGATTGAAAATGATACACGATCATTAGTTGGAGTCAAATCTGGTGAATTTCTCTTCCAAGGTGCCGGCTGTCTTCCTCCTACATTTAATGCATGCGACCTATTTACACTCCCTGCTCGCAGGTATGAAACGCCACCGAGAACATTCGCTCTTCCCACAAAGAGAGCGAGGCGCTAAGTGAGCTGCAAATTATGAATTCAACCACTAACAGGTTCCACATTATGGTGTGCTTTTTGTAAGCTTATGAAATATGATTAGAATAATAAGCCTTCATCAGCTGCTCCTAAGTGTTGCAAAGGCTTTGTGCGCAGCGTTTTACTGCCATCTGTCGCCAAAGCCTTCAGATGTATTTTATGCAACAGTAACATTTTAATGCAAGGGTGTTGTTATTAATTATCTGTAGGGCACCGTGAAGGAGGCATGTTCAAAAAGGAGCATTATGACAACTTTATTAAATACTTCTGTGTCAAGGTGCGGTGCCGAAAATACTCGAATGCAATCCCTAAACAATAGCTTTCATGTGAGAGGCAAAGTGTCTCGGTCGCACTGAATCAGTCACGCAGCAGAGAGCCCAAATGAGGATGGCTGAGATGACAAAAAGAAAAAAATCAACAACCTATGATTAGAGCATTAGCCAGATGAAGCAATGCATAAGTAATGAGTGAGTGTAAATAATCAGCGCCATATTGTGGTTGTGTGTACTTAGAGAAAATGAAATATTCACACATATTTGTTTGTTTACCTCAAGTGGAGCCGCTGTCGGTCCTGCGAGACGGAACACTGAATGGTGCACAAGGGAAGAAATTACTCGGTGCCTTTTTCTCTTTTGTTTGAGTAATCATGTCTTTGTTGGTGTGCGCTTATGTTTTTACCCTCAGAGTCCACAACATTAGGAACAGCTGCATGATACGATTTGTTCCAAGAGAACTGGAACAAAACGGTGCCTTTTCAAAGAGGAGAACACTCGATTTTAGAGTGACACTATTACAATAGTATGTTTTGGTATTTTAAGATGCTTTTTTTTTGGTCTTAATTTCTGTCATGGAATTATTATGTAATATTGTTTTTGTTGTTGTTGTTGTTATTATTGCCATTAGTGATGCTATGACACCTTGTAGTCCGTCAAGGGGATTTTATTTTTCTTCCTTCACATGGACAATATTGGTCCATTCATGATGAACTCTAATTCCACATATGCTGCAAATGCCCAATCAATCAAAATAGCACACATGACGGGGGAGCAATTAAAATAAAGAATATTAGAGTATCTTTGTAAAGGCAGAATGCTTAACACAGCTCTTGTATGACACGTCACCGGTTTCTGCAGGTGTACCGACTGATACGACCTGCGAGTGCATGCTTGCATGCCGTAGTTGCATGGATGAGGGGAATGAGGAAGATGGGGGTGGTGAGCACCTGCAGGGGAACTATTCTCCGCCGCCATGTGGCTCCTGGATGATGTGAAGAAGTCATCTTCATGAATAGTCATTTGTGCCTTCGAGCAAGACCAATGTAGATGAGCGTGGTGGAGCATCCAAGCGCTCACGAGTGAAGTTGTATCATCATGTTTGCTTAGCGAAAATGCTCTTTGAGTCTCATGGGGTTGCATGTTTGCAACATTCGCAGACGCAATACAAAAAAAAAGATTGAAAAGAAACTGCTCGGACGAGGCTTCCTGTGCACCAAATGGATTCTGGAAATTCTGAAGTGACGTTTTCAAGATGTGAAATGCGCTTGAATTGTGGGCGTGGAAGTGCCTTGAAGTGCTTGAAATTATTACTAATATAGACATATACTGTATATACAGTAGCTGTCTACTGAATAGTTCACTGGTGGAATGATCAAACATGCACATATATCTATACATAAATCTTGTGTGTTTTCCAGTACGGTATTCTCCCTAAGCAATTGCAAAGCATGAATATGTTTGTTTTTGCCAAACTGCATTCTAATTTCATGCTATTATAAGCTTTCGAAAGTGACAATATTACCATTGGCACAATGGCAATCGAATTTCTGATGAAATATGAGTTGCTTTGGTAGGTATTTTCCTTTTCCATTAGTCCCCAAACAGCCCGACACCACACACCAGTCCACTTGACCCGGCACCACACTGCACGGCCTCTCTTGCTTTTTCAACAGGCGTGCGCCTGATGGCGACACGCAGCATGTGAGGTTTCACCGTAACATTTCACAATAGCGCGTATCGTCTACTAAAGGCGTGACAGTGATTTCGCCAGCGGCACACAAAGCTCACCGCCATTCAGTCATTCAGAACGAGATCACTGTCATCCATTTAGCCGCGTCGCCGAATCAACAGCTTGCCTTCTTCGCTCTGTGGCGTCCAAAGCCGGGGCCGCCGCCGGCCTCGAGGCAGGAGCCACAACAGTCGGGCCGGAGAAGCAAGGACGCTCCGCTCTGGTGGCTGGAGACCTCCCATTCAAGTGAATGAGACTCAGACTGTGAAATGAGCCACTTCTCCCAAACTCCGGTGCAAAAATGACAGTGATTCACTGATGGCTTCTCTGAGATAGAGGGTGCATGTTGAGTCTGCAGGGGCAGTACAGGGGTGGCGCCTCAGTTTTTGATGTGGAAAAGTGACGACCTAGTAATTTTCTTGGATTGGGAGGGGCTATTGCTTGGACAGGAGGAATGAGAATGAATGCTCCGAAATGGGCGAATGCAGTTCCGATCGATTTAAATGCCCCGAGAAGACATCTCAGCGTGGTTGTGAGGAGTGCATTAAGTGAGAAATAAAAGTTGCTATGTGAAGCCACTTCACCACCAATGGCTGTAAAGATGTCACCTTTTGGTTCAAATGTATTTATTCATTCAACAAATCTGTTCAAGATTCTGTCAGGCCATGGAATTTAAGAGAAGAAAAAAAAATCCCACACCACTGAATGTGAGACAGGCAAGCTAGTCAGTATCCCACACTACTGCCAGGACTTAACACTCCAAACACACGTCTGTATTGTAAATGTGTTTTCCCATCATGTCATAAAATAAACATGACGTGTATTTGTTCAGACATGGCACATAACTCTTTGTAACGATATCAGAGGTATCCCGGCTGTTCCACCATCATAATAGATTATCAACGTCAGTGATCGGGGGTTGCCATGGCAATGACATTCATGCAGTCAGCCTTACATCGTCTCATAATGGCGCTACTTGAAGAAAATGTACAAATTATGTATATTAAATGACTTTGAACTTCTTTAATTATACAACAAATTTTAATCAGAGGTGGCTTTATGGGTCCCTCAGTGTATTTTTGACGCTTACTTTTAAAAATGTCTATTTTTGAGGGGGTGGGGGGGGGTCACATCAGGATTTTGAGTTGTTTTCTTCTTATTTTTTTTTTAGTTTGATCTATAAAAGCAATATGGATTTGAATATATGCCATAATTTATAGATTTATGAAAATAATTCAACTGTTGCTGAAACTAAAATTCATGAATATTTTTTAAATATACTATACAACATATTATTATTATTATTATTATTATTATTATTATTATTATTATCATCATTAGTCTTACAACCTAATGTGCCAGAATAAAACCAGGGCAGAGTCAGAATTAATGCAAAAAATAATAATTGAAGAAAATTTGCATCTCTGATCTTAAAAAAAAAAAGTCTGTAAAATGTGTTGACCAGTGTCATTTACTTGTGTTATCAGACACACTAAGATTAAAACGTGCATCGCAACGAGACACTACTCTGAACAGAAGCGTCTTTAAAATGTGTGTGGCATAGTTTGTAGAAGCTCATATATAATGCACACCCCTCTTATTGCATATTATGTACAAATGATGAATGGGAGCGCGGGAATCACTTGACTTTGCCAAGCTGCTTTATGACACAAGTAGACCAGCTACTTAACATTGTGGCTGCAACATTAATGACTGGTACAAATGTATATTTCCCTTGAGATGCTAAGAGAGGGTCCGATTATAAAATTGTCCTCACACTCATTAGCTTTATAATGTATATCTGCTTTGTGCCCCCATTCTTTTTATCATTAATTCATCCCGAAAGACATAATGAGCACCGTGTTTTTCAGTTATTGGATAGTGATAACATATTTTGTATTGTACATGATGATCTCATAAACCGTTGTTATATCTCAATATCATCCCAAGACTAGAAATTGTTTTAGTATTGGTTTGCCCGTCCTTGGCTTTCGGTTACCGCTTGAGCTCCAAATGCACCATTGCTCTCTCTACCCAATCTAGCAGTGCATAAAGTTTGTTGTAAAATAGTGTGTAATGTATACCCAGCCTGTTTATAGTGTAGTCTCCATGGTCACATTAGTACCTGCATTACTCCTTCTGCGCTGCGTAATATTTTCATGCATTGCTGGATTTATTGTGCAATATTGTTGGTAGAGCGTTGTCTGACAAACCTCTTCCTCTCTCTCTCTCTCTCTCTCTCTCTCTCTCCTCTGAACAGATACAATCTGCCCACCAGCAAACAAGCAGGGTCATGTATGATTGAAATAGCAGTAAATAATGGCCCGGCTCATCGTCTCCAGGAGTCTGTGTCACTGCCCATGTCGGAGGTAATGTGACCTCCCTGTACCTTCCACCCCTTGGAGCACCACTTAGGTGTTCTTTATTATTTGGCCTTGTTCATGTACATCCATCTTGATAAATGTTTAAACCACAGTGTAATCTGGACAGCATCTTATTTTGTCCGTACTTAAAATGGTATTGTACGTATAGTTGCAGGAACCCCCCCTCTCCAAAAGCTTCAAGGAAAAGAGCTCGATTCAATATTTAAAACTGTATTAAACTGTTTCAAAATGACTGCTGGGAAAGGCATCTTGAAAACAAGAAAGCTCGTGCCATTCTATGTTGCCTGCACATTATTTTGTGATCGCGTGTGACTGTGACAAATTTTTTGACAAGTAATGAAAGTAGCACCAGGCTGGTTTTGACCTGCTCATCGAGCTGGTCTGCCTCATTAGTTTGATTAACAGCGCTCGTATTTAATTTTAGGTGAATAATGTTCTTTTTCCTTTTCAAAGGCACATAAAGGAGCTTGACCTTCCCGCAGGCTCAATGTGTTGCACCGCCGTTAATGTGATTTATGGTTTTCTAATTTGAGGATGTTTTTTTGTCTGTTTTAATATCATGTTGCATTATGGATAAAATAGTATTCAATGGTTTCGTAAGATAATAGCTTCTTTTGTTTTGTGACCACGCTTGGAGCTCAAAACACTCATTTTCTCCTTGAAATGAATGATAAAGGCATTCACCCGTTCCAGACTCCTTACCAAAAAATGGTTTCGGTTGTCATGAGTAAAAACATTATTATCCAAAATATTGTTGCTAGGCATTATGGTTGAACGACTGGTTTGCACATCTTCCTCATAGTCCAGAGGACGTGGGTTTGAATCCAGATTCAGACTTTCCTGTGTGGAAAGTGGTGAAACCATAATGATATAAGAGAAGGTGGGCAGAGCTATATTGGGAAGACCCCACGGGTAAAGGGAGCACTTCTAGAATGCTGGTCGTCCACTTAAATCTCTCGGTGATATCATGGGCTCATGAATGAAACACCACTAAAGCAGGGGGGTGCCCACTTGTAAACCTGGTGGAGTCTCAAAGTCGTAATCCGACAATTGTGCCCCCAGTTAAACAACGTCTGAAGGGAGTGACTTCTCTGCCAGCCACCCCACATAAATAACAGGATGTAACTCCTGCCAAGGACAGGGGCTGCAGGAGACTTGTTTTAAAGACGGCATGCAATGCTCTGAGTCCACTTACACACTCATGAATCTTACATTAGTACATGCTTCGGATGGATTCAGCTCATAGACAGGTTAAGCACACTCGAATTGTGATGCGATGACATAAGGGTTACTTCTCATACATGCAGCTCTCGTGGTTCGGAAAGCGCGCTCCCTCGCTCACTCCAAATGCATCAAGTCAAAACACTCTCAGGAACTGATTTACGGAAGGTTTGCTGGAAGCTGTTCTAAAATTATTTTGACATATCGTCTGTTCAGCAATGTTATTTTGGATCTAGTGGTGACTTGGAGCCAGATGCCAGCAAGCTATGGCGAAACTTTCTCTCGTATCTGGGTCATATTCGAACAGTGTGCCAATTGTCTTTTGCTGGTCTCCCTCAAAGCAGTTTTTGGGGTGTACTGCCCCAAGTTTTAAAGGCACTGCTATGAAGGACGGGCAAACGAGATGAGTTAAATTCGACAAAATGTGACTTTCATGCAGTAGCTGGTTTCACCAAAATTATCAGGGTGATAGATTTATTTTGTGGATCTTAATATATGCACACTCCTGCGGAACTCTTTGTTGACTTTGTAAACTTTCAAGTGGTGCATTTGTTGTGTCGATGACATCTGATGGCATTAAGCCATCATCTCAAAAGATTATTTGGCCACGCGCCTCAATGCCGCCCTCCATTGCACCTCGGCAGAAACGCCAGCATCATGTCAGGATGAATGATATTCGAGAGTCGAGGGTTATCATGTTCATAAAAACTCCAATGTGACATGTTCACCCTGTTCAGCTCAGGAACATTTCATTCTATGAAATGCATCAATTCCAACAATGGTCTGTTTGTCTATAAAGATGTTTATCGTCAGTGAATGCCTCCTTTTTTTTTTTCTTTTACTGAGACAGACAATACATAGCAATGACTTATTCTGAAAGACGCTGCCAGTGAGATTTATTTTTATTGTTTGTGATATCCTGGCACTCACAACAACACTGCGATGCCAAATAAAACATCAACTTTCTTATAACGCATGAAATTAGAGATTGGAATTTCAAAGTGTAAGCCCCCTAAAAATTATCGGTGGTATAAAATATATATTTTTTTAATTCACTATTCTCTGTCCGTTTTGAATTGCAAACTTCATAATCACCTCGCTTTACCACCTTTCTCATTAATCATTTTAACGAAAAGAAAGATCAGGTGGTCTGGGGATGTCATTCACTTTAATTAATTTTTGTTAATTAACACACACCAGTCAATGAGCGGTACAGAGCCTTTTGAGCATCTTAATGTCAAAACAGGAATGAATTAGTGCTATGCTGTTCAACTATTGTGAAGGAAAAATAGAAAAGAATTTTGAAACATTGACAAAAAAAAAATCTCATTCATCAAAAGTTCAAAAGACAGATGTTTGTGTATGAGAAAAGTGAGAATGAGATGGTTTGCATTGTTTGATCCTCGACTAAAAGGTTTTTAATATGTGGAGGGGAAGGGTGCAATGGAAAAAAAATTGGCACAGGCTTTTCTTGACAGAAAAAAAAAACAAAAGTCACTGCAGCCTATCTTCCATTCAGTATTGTAATTTTTGAGCTTCTAAAGGCTGTATTGAATCCAGTCACAAGAAGGAGTCATGCCATATCGCTTATGACAAAACAAATATCCTTTTAAAGATGAATTTCTTGCGTCTGGATCATTTCAGGACACCGGGACAATTCGCTGGTGCTGGCACAGCAATTTTTGGGGGTGTTCTAGCCCAAGTTTAATGTAACGCAGGATGGCCAATAAAGACACGTTAAATCAAACAAAACATGGATTTTATGTAGTTTCTGGTTCTACCAAAAGTATGATGATCTGGGCGACAGATGTATTTTCTTTCTCAAGGTGAAAACAATCCAGGCTACTCTACACCCCTTTTAAGGATGTTGCCAACTGCATAACAAATCAGTTCCAGTGAGTGAATACGCAATCACTCGTCCAACAACTGCAGGTTTACTACAATGCGTTATTGCAAAGCATTCACACCTCCTGAATTTTATTTTTCATTTTTATTTATCTTTTGCTGACATACTGTAGCAACCCTGCAATGGCATTTCATAAGTTAGGGTTGAAGTTCGAGCCAGGAAGATATCCGGATGCGATTGGGTGAGCGAGTCAGGAGTGTGGACTTTGCAAGCGAGGAAAGCAGACGAGTAAGCGACTCAACTTTTGTTTGGAGGCGCGTTTGACGACTGAAACTAAAGATGGAAGACATCATCTATTCTAAGTCAACCCGACTATCATCGCCTTCACGTCAACTACAAAAAAAAATTAAGTCGTTCAATCCCAAGTACCTGTTCTCACAAATCTATTGTTATGAGCTTCAAACTGATAGCATTGTGAATCATTAGAATAGTCGGCGTCTGTAAAAGAGACTCATTTGCCGCTGTCCCTCAAAACACATCTTTCACTGTTTCAGACCACACCTGTACCCCATTCACTTTGTCCTCGGGATGAGTGACGCCACACAACACACTGAATAGGACGGCTGTTGATTTTCCAAGTTAATTTACTGATGCAAACTTAAAGGCAAGACATAAAACATAATAATGGGAATGTTATTCTAATGGCCAAGTATGAAATAAAATGGACTCCTCAAAAGCCTCCTTCGGAGAAGTCCACAACTCACATCAGTCCAACTGAATAAAAACATCTCTGAATAAAATAGTTAATGTCCCCATCTAAAATCCATAATTTGTCGAATATGTGACGGAAGTGTTTACACTCATGTTTTATATACTTTTCCAACAATATAAATATCAAATATGCCCATTCCTTGACTAGGATGACTTATTAACCATAATGGACAATTACAGCAACATAAAATGCAATCGTCTACTTCTTCATATCAGCATCAATCTGCAATGTATGGCAATAAAGAAGTAACGAAGAGAAGACTAATTAACATCAAGGGTTACACTAGTGAGCTGGATGTAAATAATAGGAGAGAGTAAGGGATCTTTTGCTCTGATTGTTTCGGTTGTTGTTTTTTTTTTTTTTGCAGGGAACATTTGGGCCGATTTTTCTTGGGCTTGCATCCTCCCGTTGGGAATTGCATGACGGTCTTGCAAAAGGAGGATTTATTGGATGTATCCGGCAACTTCAGGTCAACTCAAAGGAGATTTTTCTGGTGGGTGAGGCCGTGAGAGGAAGGAACATCAAGAACTGTGACCCACCTGTTTGCCAGCACCTTCCCTGTCGCAACGGAGGGACCTGTGTCAGGTAATTACTCCGTTGCTTTTGCAAGTGAAAGCCACTTTGTAAATCAATACAAATTTAAACTTTGATTAGCACCCAATTATCCACCTCCATCTATTCCATTTGCACACATCTGCGTGTCTTATAACAATAACGCAAAACGTGCGGAGGGAAAAAAACAATCTCCTCTCTAGATTTCTTGGCACATGCTCCTTCTCAAAGGTTTGTCGAAATCAGTCAAGTAGGTAAATTGCTTGACCCTGCTGTTGAATAACAAAGTAGAACTGCACGCAGTAAAGCACTGACATCTGTCGAGGCCAAACCATACTTATGTCTTTCCTTTTCGATGAAACGTACAACGGGAAAAATCCAAATGTAAGAAGATGGTCCACCTGACTTTCTCCATCCACGGCGCAGTACTGCTTCTCTGTCCTCAATTACTTTTAGATCATATATATTTTTTTTATGCATAGTAAAGTGAGAGGCTTGACATTTATAAATACTTTCGGTAGAATAATAATGAAAAAAAAAATCATCTCACTCGTGAAGACTCCTGAGCTCGACTGATTGTACTTAACTGTTCTCATAAACTGGAACATGCGTTAATTAAAAGAGCACAATCGTCAACTACTTAAAACACTGACAATGGAGCACAAGTTTCAAGATAATTTAATTGCCCAGTGGCAAAAAAAAAAAAAAGAAAAGAAAATCAGTAAAGCGTCATTATTGCCAGCAAATGTATTACACACACCCGATTTAAATTTGTCTGAGACCTACCAAAACCTGAAATCACAACTCTGATCAGCATCGCATGATTGATAAGTCCCAAATAACATTTGGTTGAAAAAGCTGTTGAATTTGGCAGGGAGGTAATAGCAGCATCTTGAGCTTAGATCTCTCAATAGACTACATGTTGTGTAATGCAGTTTTGGGGTTTCAATTTTGGATTTCCAAAGTGGTTCCTACAGTAAATTATGCTCCATTCCCTTTACACATTCTAAATGTTACTGTGTGTAAGTGCATAGTCGATAGGTGACACGTAATGATGTGATAAAATGACACTATATATCGGCGCCACATTGAAAAAGAACTTGACTCATTCCAAAAGCATATAATTTATATTCAGGTGATAATATATACCATGTTCTAAATACAAAAAGGTGAAAGAGTGAGGTGACATTAATTTCCCAAATTGATCTGTAATCTGATTCCATCTGCCTTTGTGTTGAGCCATCTCAGCTCATCAGAACACGATCACACCTCACTTGCTCGCAATTTTGACCCTCTTTGTTAGTCTGCACAGATGACCTGTGACGCTCTTTCCCCTTGGCTAATCCAGAATACAGGTGCTTTAAATGACTTGTTCATTGTTATGACACTATCTATTAACATTTACATTTGTTTAACAGGAAATGAAAGCGGGCGCCCTGATTATTGTGATAAGAAAAGGCTCGGAGAATACCAATTAGGATGTGATGGCTTTGTGGTACAGTACTAGTGGTTTGTCATGTGTTAAAGTGGCGGTCTCGCAATTATCTCAGTCTGATGGATGCACGTGAATGCAGTTTCTTGTACGACACGCACCATACAGGTCAGTCAGAGTTCACAGAGCTCTCTTACTCGCCTTTGGCTGCACAGCTGTGAGACAATCGGATGACAAGGCCGATTGCGGTTTCACCTGACCAGAGGTTGTTTATTCCATATCACTGTCAAACTGAAGCGTATTCTGTTGTGGGCATCTTTGCATATCGGGCTTTTTAGTAACGTCATTGCGAAATGCCAAAGGCATTCTGATGTCTGACGTGTGACATTTATAAATCTCGTCTTCAATGCATTGGATGCCAGGTCATTGAATGTACTGTAAATGAAAACAGAAATACTGTTTGATCTACAAAAATTTTCTCTATGTAAGCAAAATATAATTTCTTCATTGTGATAGTGAAGAAATTTGTCATTTTCTGTTCAAGCATCAATTTGAGTATTTGACTAGATCGTGGTACTCTGGCTATATGGTAACTCACAACAGCCAATTTTATTGATCTAGAACAGGGTAGCGAGTAGAGTTTGACTCCCACATGTCTCCTATCAGTATGCGTCCTGCTGGGGGACCTGCTGTTGATGTTGGTACGCTTGTGTGGGAATGCAGCGAGTCTTTTGCAGGAGCAGGTGGCTGCAGCTTTCACTGTTGCTGTCTTTTGTTGGAGCACAATAGCATATTAAAATAAAAAGTCTATAAAAAAACTGAATCTTTCCATGACAATGTAGTACGTTAGTGGTTAGAGCGACTGCCAGGCAGTCAAAGGGTCCAGGTTTGAATTTCCATTGTATTCTGTTCCTCCCACACTCGTGTTTAATTCAATACACTAATTTTGTCACTCATATATGTGAATGTGCATGTGAATGGTTATACATACACTATGTTTGTACCGTAGCACAGGTATGGATAACTGTCGCCTGCACTCTCAGTGGCCCCTTGATTAATTGAAAAAATATATAAACAAACTGGGTGGCCCGGTGATCCAGTAGTTCGCACGTTGACCTCACAGTGCAGAGGTACGGGGTTCAATTCCAGCTCCGGCCTTCCTGTGTGGAGTTGGCATGTTCTCCCCGGGCCTGCGTGGGTTTTCTCCGGGTACTCCGGTTTCCTCCCACATTCCAAAAACATGCATGGCAGGCTGATTAAACACTCCAAATTGTCTGTAGGTGTGAGTGTGAGCGCGGATGGTTGTTGGTCTCTGTGTGTCCTGCGATTGGCAGGCAACCGGTTCAGGGTGTTCCCCGCCAACTGCCCGAAGACGGCTGGGATAGGCTCCAGCACACCCCGTCACCCTTGTGAGGATAAAGTGGTTCAGAAAATGGATGGATGGATGTATTTTGTCTTCTGCTTTGTTTTGTGTTTTTCTGTGGAAACTGTATATGTTCAGTACATGCATGGAGAAATGCATTATGAAAAATGAAATATGTTAAGAGCGTGTGTTTTGCACATATTTTATCCATATTTAAAACACAATTTTTGTCATACATCTGGATAGGAAGTATGACTCCATCATTTTCATCCCTGCTGTACAGTGACATGTTATTGATCGGTCAGCTTGGATGAGCTCCAGTTACCTGTGACCCTAATGAAATCATTTGCTAGAAAAGGGATACATGGATGATCTTTTGACACGATTGTGTACGTTCTGAAATATTTTGGACCTTGTCGTCCAGCCTATGAATTGTAAAAATACACAGTATTCTCACATTTTTATCATCTTGCAAGATCAAAAGCATTGCAACCAGCTGGTGTTTTTTTGGGGGGGGGTTTTGTTTTTATTTTTAATGGTGATGGTGTGCTATTATTTTATCAGTTTATAAAGTACAGTTGGGAAAACGGTTCCCAACAACAGTTTTCTGCTTGTTGCCTGGCAACTTGCTAAGGCATAGGTCCAGCCATCCCACATTAATCCACAATCTTTTTTTTTTGTTGCAATTAGCAGCTATTGCACAAAGCACACATAGAGTATGATTTGTGAGGTTAACAGGCACTCGCCCTTTGATTTTGCCTACCTCACACAGAGCAGAGCTAAAGTTTTGTGCTCTTCAAACTCAGTCGGCAAGTATAATTTGTGCCTCCTAATAAGATAATTAAGCATATTAGCCAGTTGATGTCACACGGTGCCTTAGTCATGTGCTTATTCACGCTATAGTTGTTCTCTGCTAAATATCCACAAAAGCAACTGAGTATCCCATTTGCCCATTTGAGTGTCCGATTGATTCACGAAGTTATGTGTTGTAGAAGATAAGAATGCAGCGAGGAGGAAAAACAGTGAATGTAATGTGCAGCCCGTAAATCCCAAACATTCAGGTGGCTAATTAAATTGCTCCTGGCAGTTTTTTTTCTTCTTTTCAGTGTGGCGCTGAAACTAAAAATTAAATTGCTGCCACCATCTTCTCAAAGTGGCACTGATTCGTTGAAACATTTTGTTCGAGTGATTACTCGATTCAATCAATGATCATTTTTTTGGGTGGGGATCACAATGAATTTACTTTTAAAAGGAATAATTTTGTCCCCTCTTTGGTTTTGTTTCTAATAAGGAGATGTTTCAGCAGTTATATGGACTTGGTTCAGATTTGCAGCCCCAGAAAATGAGCACAAACATCCATCCATCCATTTTCTAATCCGCTTATCCTCACAAGGGTCGCGGGCATGCTGGAGCATGTCGGCCTCACGGTGCAGAGGTTCAGATTTCGATTCTGGCTTTGGCCTTCCTGTGCTGCGTTTGCATGTTCTCCCCGTGCCTGCAGGTTTCCTCCCACATTCCAAAAACATGCATAGCATGTTAATGGAACACTCTAAATTGTCCCGAAATGTGATTGTGAGCGCGGATGGTTGTTTACCTATGTGTGCCCCGCGATTGGCTGGCAACCAGTTCAGGGTGTACCCTTCCTACTGCCCGAAGACAGCTAGCATCGGCTCCAGCACGCCCGTGATCCTCATGAGGATAAGCAGGTTAGAAAATGGATGGATGGGTGTTTTACATTTGACAAAAAAGGAGCCAGGTGGAAGGCGATCACCGCAGCACATTCTCAAAGATACGATGCACATTAATACGTTGCAAAATCTGTTATTTACCCCCACACCGATCCAGTTCAATGGTGCGAGCAGCTTTTGTTATAAACTACATACAATTTGTATTGTAACATTTCCAAATGCACAATACACTTCACCGGGGTTCCCGGCCAGTCGCAGTGTCTCGTTTTTTTTTTTACCCCGACCACTTCCAGTGGTTTGACTTGACAATTAAGAGCATCATGAAGTTCATCAAACATGACAACAGCATGAAATAAAGCTTTCATGGCTGAATAAAATAGGCTCGAAATGCCTATTTATACCGATTGTAAGTCCCCCATCAGAAGGTTTTCACTTTAGGGGTGATACCGGGTATGCCCAAAGCCTCATGTTGTAGACAGGCTTATTTTTCTTGCCCCCCACTTTCTCAAATTTTGAATAATGTTATATTATTTGCTCCCTCTTTCAATTT